TAAAATATCTTCAATGAACAAAGATTTATAAACTTAATCATTTCTTAGAAATTTTTATTTTCTTATCAAATCACTTAAATGATTTCACTTTGGGTCTATAAACTTTTAACATGCAAAGTAAAGTTTTATCATACAAAAATCACTTTTATTCTTTACTTTTTTGCGATCTTATTTAATGCTTATTGTGGCTAACATGTATATATATTTTAAATGTTTATTGTTTCCGTAAATAATACATATATATGAAAACAACATTATCAAGGCTTATGCTATAATTACATATAGACATTTTTGCAGAGTGTAAACTGTAAAATATAATTTATTTAAACTTTGTATGATCTTAAAATGTTGTAACAAAAAAAAAATGAAGTGGAAAAAATGGGGTAACAGAGTTTGTTTTGAGTGATCCTAAAGTTGAACATGAAATTTTAACTGTCATTTTATTTCAAGGGCAGATAATTTATATGTAAGCTGGACAAACCTTAAATTTACTAATTGTTTATGTTTTACATTTGGTCCTTTGGCACAGAGCAAAGTTTCATGTTATTCCATTAAACATTGGTGTCCCCTTTTTAGCTTGACTATTGGATAAGAATAAGTAGAGCTATTGCAGTCACCCGAGCGTCGGCGTCGGCATAACCACTTATGTTAAAGTTTTTGTAATAGTTGAAATATTTTCAAAGTCCATAGACATATGGCTTTAAAACTTTGCACACTTGTTCACCATCATGACCCCAACCTGTAGACAGGAGGAGGTAACTCTATCGAGCATTTTGACAGAATTATGCCCCTTTTTCGACTTAGAATTTACGTTAAAGTTTTTGTAATAGTTCAAATATTTTCAAAGTCCATTGACATATGGCTTTGAAACTTTGCACACTTGTTCAACATCATGACCCCAACCTGGAAACAGGTGAAGGTAACTCTATCAAGCATTTTGACAGAATTATGCCCCTTTTTCGACTTAGAATTTACGTTAAAGTTTTTGTAATAGTTCAAATATTTTCAAAGTCCATTGACATATGGCTTTGAAACTTTGCACACTTGTTCACCATCATGACCCCAACCTGTAAACAGGAGGAGGTAACTCTATCAAGCATTTTTTTTACTATCAAGCACTAAGAATAGTCGAGCGTTGCTGTCCTACCGACAGCTCTTGTTGCAATTAAAATCAAGGAGACTCAAAGAAAAAAGACTAACTCTTGAAATTCTGAATAATCCACTTTAAAAAAGGAGAACTAAGAAAAATTCTCATATTCAACGGTATGTAACTCAAAAACAGGCTTGTTGACTTTCAAGTTATATTGATTATTTTAAGATCGTGCAAATTTAAATATGTCTATCAATAATTGTAGCATATGCTTTTAACCTTTTTTATCAAATTTTTTATTCCATCTATTTTAGTTACTTTCACGAGCTTGTTTTAATGATTAAATTATGATTTTGCTTAAATTTTTAACAAGTAATGTTTTTACCTATGACATAATGATTTTATTTTTATACTGTAATCTTATGGTGAGAAAAATCAGTATATATGTATAATGTTGAAATTTTCCATTTAGAAATGTTAATTAGGTTAATTATCTTGCTGATCTTGATATTAATGTGACAAATTACAAGAGTTTAAATAAATATATATAGAAATAGAGTTCTTGTTGTTTTGTTTGTCTGTGAAATAAAAGGAAGCTTATGCTTACATTATATACAACAACTTACAGATAATGAATGGTTCACAGATCCTTTGATGTTCGTATATACTCTATGCTTAATGAGGATATCTAATGAGAGTCCATTAATTCACCCAACATTCGCTATTGATGCCTTTAACAAGTTTAAAAAACAAGTTACTACATTATGATAAATATCATTGGAAAAAAGTTAAATCTCTATTGTAATACAAGGTGTTATATATACAGAACAGAAATCAACTGTATTATTACAGAAATGGAATGGAAAATGGGGCTAAGGATGGTAGTACTCTAGGGGTGGGGGGTTAAATTCAGAAACAAAATGAAATAATGTAAGTCGGATTACGTTAATGTAGTGAGAATTTAACTTCATGTAATTTTGATTGAGTGTTATAAACTGTGCCCAAATTGATTAAATGTCCAGTCTTGTACATGGTGAACAAGGAGTTAGCCTATCTGTACCAAATTTTCTGCAGGGAAATGGGGCGGGGGGGGGGGTGTCAATCTCTCCCAACTTAAATCAGTCTGCCAAACTGGTACAACAGGGCTTATTTGCCTAATATGATTAAAGTTTAAGCTTAAAAACGACACCTCTGTATATATGTATTGTAAAATTGTTTATATTTGTTATAAAGTATCTGTTCTGCTCTGTTCTGTCATCACAGTCAAGATCTTAACGTTTTGAGTACGTTTTATTACCTCCCTTAGATAGATATTTTTCCATTGAATTAGCTCTGGTACTTTATGCTTACAAAAATTATTAGCAAGTGATTATAAATTATATTTGTATAAAAAGTATATACATTTAAGATAAGTTAAAAGCAGATTTGTGCCCTTTTAAAACTTACTGTATTGTCGAGAATATTTATTTATATAAATAAATCAACTACCTTAATAACTTCATGCCTTAAACTAATGAGTAAGGAAAATAATGGGCCTGTAGAAGTACAGGCCTCAGAGTAGTATCTCTGAAGAATTTCTGATAAGGCACAGGTTGCCCCCGGGTGACCCACCTACATTCGTGGGATGCTTGTGGCGAAGCGATCTTGCCTGCCTTCAAAAAAAAAATAATAACATAAAATTAATCAATTGTAATATTCAGTTCGCAATATTTTATCTGGCAATATATCGCAATGCGTTTTCATAAGTCGCAATATATTGAAGGTATAAAGTTTTTAATGATAATAATAATAATAATGATAATAAAGAAACATAAAAATTATGAATATTATTTCAAATGACTCTGAGAAGAAAAGAATATGTTGAACATTGTTTCATTGTCCTCATGTTTTATTATACATTCCAAGTTCTAATGCAACCTTTTCTGTTATTGGCGTCCGCACCGAAGCGCGACGCCCCAAGGTTATGAAATAAAATCAGATTTTGTGAAAGGGCAAGCGCAACTTCCTTGGCCTTTTCGTCAGTATGAGGCTGTTTGATTATCAAAAATGAAAGGTCGCGATATGTACAATAAATAGAATAGAATAGAATAGAATAATGTTTTATTACCAATCATGGGCCTTCTCAGGCATACAATTACATAAAATATCAGTACATTAAATGTATATAAACAAAACAATAATAAGATAACATAAGCTAATTCTGATTTGATAACACAATTAACAAAGGACTAGTAACTATATGTATTCAACAAAGGCATTTTAAATGACAACACATAAAAGAAATAGAATTTGTAAAAAACCTCAACAATAACTAACCCACAATATCTTTTGAGATGCACATTGACAAAGACTAATTAATGATGTTAATAAATAACTACAATTACTTATTATGCATAAAAGTTCTATTATTGTTGTACTGTATAAATGTACTTGACTAAAATGATTATTTATACAATCAGCTATTGACCTGTAAACGCATATTAACATGATGATTGTTTTACACATATTTGAATGTATTTGACCCCTCACTAGTATGTGGGAAAGATACTTCTATTAGATTGGAAAATAATCTCACAATTATTTGGCATTTTTAAGTTGTTGTAATTTTAAGTGACCGTATGTTATAACACTGCCATATATAAGATGCAGTAAGTTCAATAAACTTTTCATTTTCATTGCTAAGCAAAAATATAAATTGATCTTTACAATTGAGTGTAGGAAAGTTTTTACATAAATCAGCACATTCTTTAAGGTAAATGCTTCTAAAAGTGTCATATTTAGGACATTCAGGCATGAAATGAATTTCATCTTCTGTTTTCCCTAGATTGCACATTTTACATAATCTCTCTGAGATAGGAATATGTTTGTATCTACCACATTCTATTTCCAATCTATGGGCACTTATTCTAAATTTTGTATAGCATGATCTTAAATTACTGTCCCTTAATACACTAAGATATTGTTCACTTACAAAAACAGTCTTAAATAAGGCATATGTACGTAATTTATTTAAATAGCGAACTGGAGAATTTCGCAATGCAAACATATTCAATGAATAACGAACTGGAGAATTTTGCAGGAAATGAAATGCAAACATATTCAAACAATTAATTACACTCTTTATAAATCTATAGAAAAAATTTAAGTTTGCCATTTTTACGAATTATTTTATCATTTTAAAATTGTCTTTTCTTTTTTGAGCGAAATGTTGATTTGCCGAATATTGTGACATTATAACAACAGAAACTTTCGTCTGCAATTTTAACATGAGTTAGTAAATGTTTTATTAATAGAAATGTAAATACACGGGTGGGTCAGACGAGGTTTTTGAAGTAATTCATTTTAAATTGTAGATTGATCCCCCTCCGATTAACCAATTAACAGACTTTAATCATGGTCTTTCAAACAAAATTCAAAAGGCCCTGCTCTAATGTCCTCATAAGAAAGAAATGATTCAATAAATGTAACAAAAAGTGCCATAATTCAGAACTTTTGCAAATGGGTCCGGATTTATCTTATTTCCAATTTATGTTTATTACCAATGTTTTTCACACTAACATTTTTTCTATAAGATCCAGACCTCATAACACTTCTAAAAAGTCAAGATAATTGATGAGATTGGAAATTGAAGAGAAAATGCAGCTTTTTTAAACAATGATTATCTGAAATATAAATTCCTGTGTACCAATCTTTTAAAAGATAAAATCAGTACTGCATATGTAATAAATGCCTCATTGATATAGAACATCTTCAAAAACAATTTTGAAATAAGTAATCTGTTGATGGTAATGACTACGATCTTAATATTTCGGGTGAAATATAGGTATTTTTAAATCTAAATAGGCGGTACATTATTTTTTTTTTATTCATCAACTACATTATACATAAGAGTATTCGCCAGTCTCCCGGATGAGACCGGCAAATACAGGGAGAGTACGTCCAGAAGAGTTGTCGTACTTTAAACATAGGGGCGCTGTGATGCACTAAATCAGTTTTTCAGCAAGTAAGAGTACTCTTGACGGAAAAGAAAGCAATGTAAATTTTTGTAAGTTACGGGGCCCATTTATACTCAAAATTGATTTTATATAAATTCATTTCCATTAGCTGTTTATGAGGTTAGAAATCCTTCATTTAGAATGAATTGAAAAGGTCAGTAAAACCTGCTTTGAATTTTGCATAAGTCGCTAGCAGCAGAAATTTTTGGTCAGCAATTTTTATTTTAGAAGTAGATATGGAATAGAATACATTCTTATAGATATTTCTTTTCTACTCAAAATAAATAACGGTAATCTCTAATTGAACTTTTGTCTGCACAATATTCTATAATATATGTGTGAATGAAAGAAAAAAGGAATTAAATAAGTCATAGTAATCATATGAAAGGAGTGAAGCTAGTCCTATAACATTAGATGTTTCATTACTGTAGTGTACTTAGTACTAAAGGAAACTTCTTATGTTATAGGACAAGGGTGAATCCTGTGGAACATAAGTTCTTCAACCAAAATCTCTTGGTTATCCTGGTGGTCCTGAATGTAAACCCTATTTGTATCATAGTTTGGGGACCTTTCTGTTGAAAATGTGTCAGAGTTAAATCGTATACATATACATGCACAGTGCATTAACTGGAGTACAGGTATTATTTACCCGCACTCCAGAGCATGCCCAGTGATTGGCTCATTTTTTGCTGGGGTTTACGTATTGTGACAGCAGAGAAAGGGTATGCAACAGAAGTGTCATATTCAGATGTTTGTTCATTGGTTCCTTTTTGCCGGGGTGTCATATTGTGACAACAGGGAACGTGTTTTTATGTTTGACTATGACACAAAAGAGAAAGAACATCAAAAATCTGATAATTACTCGTAGCCCCCTCGTACAAATCAGATAGCCTCGTGTTTCAATGCTCTTTCTATTACTTGGCCCATCATCAATAATAAAAATAAAGCTAGGATGAAATAATCATTTGTTCGGTTGAAAAAACAGCAATTAATATGAAATTAGGCAAAGATTAACGATTTTAAAGGTGTCATTCAGTATTTCATGCATCACTTCCATTGTCATGCAAAACACTCAATGATTAATACAAAAAGTTTGTTCCATTATCATGATACCCCGCCTATTATCATTGAGTTACATTGAAAATGTAGGATACCCAACTAGAACTGACACTGAAAATTTCATTGATAGGTATTAGAATTGTATATATTCCTGTTTTTGTGCCCCCACTTTAGTGGCGGGCATTTAGATTTACCCTTGTCCGTCCATCCATCCTTCCGTCTGTCCGTCTGTCCTTCCGTCCATTCTCTTTTGTGTCGCATGTAACTCAAAAAGTGTTTGACCTAGAGTCAAGAAACTTTACAGGAATGTTGATCAGCATGTGAAGTTGTGCACCTGGGTATTTTCATCTGGATATTTTTAGTATTTTTAGAGTTATTGCCCTTGACTTAGTAAAAATTTGCAATTTTCAACTTGTGTCGCATGTAACTCAAAAAGTATTTGACATAGAGTCATGAAACTTTACAGGAATGTTGATCAGCATATTTAGTTGTGCACCTGGGTATTTTTGTCTGGATATTTTTAGTATTTTTAGAGTTATTGCCCTTGACTTAGTAAAATTTTGCAATTTTCAACTTGTGTCGCATGTAACTCAAAAAGGATTTAACGTAGAGTCATGAAACTTTACAGGAACATTGATCAGCATGTGTAGTTGTGCACGTAGGTATTTTCGTCTGGATATATTTAGCATTTTTAGAGTTATTGCCCTTGACTTAGAAAATATTTGCAATTTTCAACTTTTGTTGCATGTAACTCAAAAAGGATTTGACATAGAGTCATTAAACCTTATGGGAAGGTTGCTCAGCATATTTAGTTTTGCACCTTGGGTTGCTTGTGGATTTATCCAGTATTTGTAGAGTTATTTCCCTTGACTTAGTAAAAACTGTTTCATTATGTTGTTATTTGTTCCTTGAGTGCTTGAGTTAGAATCGACCAACTTTACAGGAATAATGATCAACATCACTAAATTACAGGAATAATGATTCACATCACTGTGAAGCTATGAACCTGGGACTTTGCATGTGGATTTTTTCAGTTTTGTTAGAGTTATTGCCCTTGACTTACAGTAGTATAAATTTGCAATTTTCAACTTGGGGTTTGCTTGTGGATTTATTCAGTATTTGTAAAGTTCTTGCCCGTCACTTAGTAAAAGATTTTTAGTTTTCAAAAAATATTTGACCTAGAGTCATAAGATTGACAGAACAGTGGCGCGGTGGGGGCACCTGTGTCCTATGGACACATTTCTAGTTTTTATTTGATTTCTTTCTTAATATACACATGTAGTCTATAGCTGTGCAAGCCACAAAGCCCGGGCCGGCTTCACTGACCTCCTATTCAAGCTATAATCATTTGCAGAGTAAACTATAGAATATATCATATGTCCAAAATTTCAGCTTTTGCTTCTGAAATATTGTATATCTTGTTAAAAACAAAAAATTAAAACACCAAAGCTTTTATCTGGATTGAAATAAATCAACGTTTATCTGGATTAAATCAGCGTTATGTACATATCTATTCGGACACATGGTACTGTAGTGTGGACACTTTAGATAATTTTGATACCCTCCTTGATGGGCCTCAGATATAAGTTTCAACATAAACATAAACTAGTTTGTTAGATAGGGGAAGAACCTAGCTGTACTGTTTCAAGTGTTCAGATCCAAAGCATTAAAATTATGAAATCTGTATGGAAAAATGTTCAGAAAGTGAAAAAATGTGTGGTTGGTGGTCTCCGACCAATAAATCTTGTAATGTTCCAAAAATTGTTCTATAGTGAACCTTTTATGAGACTGACATGGTACAAAGTACCTCCCAGTACAAACTACTTTTTTGAAGAAAAAAATTGTTTTGTTTGCATGGTGTAAAGCTACTATACATTGAACTGTGGTTTTTTAGGTCTGGTCTGGTCAGAAATACATTACTATAAGTATTTTAGCAGTGGAACATGGCATCAAAACTGCAACCTTTGGATAAGTGTCCAGTGCATAGGACACATATCTGCTTTATTACTATAACATAAATGATATTTTGGCTCATGATAAATTTCATAACTGATTTCCTTTTCTGTTAAACCTTCTTCAAGACTGTCACAGTTGTTTCTTGAATGTGTTAATATTGGACATTATTGTTCTTAACATGGTTAGCAATGGATGCTATGTGATAGTTAAAATGGTAATAGGACACTTCAAACTAGATTTTTGGGCAGCTCACAGTGACAGTTACACAGACTCGCTTGGAAAATTAAAATATTTTGGGACATTCAATACCAAATTTAGGAACTCTTGTGTATGTTTGCATGCATGCCATATATCTTGCCAGGGGATGCATTTCCTTGATATTTGACCTTGACTCCCAATCTTCTGCCAGGATATTAATTTCCCAAAAATTGAAATTTTTTCAAAAATCAAATTTACAAAAATAGTTATTATCAATTTTGATTTTTTAATTTCATTGCAAGAAAAAAAAAGAATTGAGCACAGGCCTAACTCTTGACTCTTTTAACAAAAACTCAGTCTCATTATTTCCTGAAAGTTTAAACAGATATTTAGGTCTGTACCAGCAGCCTGTGTATGAACTATGATTCTTACCTGATGTTAGTATCCTGTTTAATGCCTTTAGATTTTCATTTCAGTATTATAAAAAATATTTGAATTATCTCCACAGATTTTCCAAGATCTAAATTTTTAAGTGCCACAAAGGCCAGAATATCAAATGGATGGTAACAGTATGGTAAACATGTCAAGTATGGCCAATAGTTTGGCATCTAGTCTTGCAAACTCTAACAGCATGGTTGCTGGCTTCTCCAACATGAGTGTGGCATCTGCTTTCGGAAATCCTAATATGGGAACCAGTAATATGGCCTCAGGATTTGGATCACAGTAAGTAAAAATTTTACAATAAAATTGATGACTATTTCTGGTTGGCATACTAGCAAAGCTCTAAAATGAACATTAAAGTTACTTATAAATGAATCTAATGATTCACTAATTGTGTTGATTTACAATTTGGGTGTAACAGAATGAGATATAATAGTTACATTCAAGAAATATTTATATACACAATGTATAATATGCTAATAAACATAAACAGGTATATTTAAATTTCTGGAGAAAATTGCTATCTATGTTAATTTCTCATGGCGATTCTTAGAAATATTGTCGTTGAAATGCTTTATTCAAGCCCTGAAGATCATTTGTAGTGAATTATATGTAGATGTTTCAGTAAATTGTCAGTGTAAACTTACAGACAGAAACCAAGCCTATTTATTTGACTAGTATAACAGAGAGAAACTATGAGTATTTTATGTATTTTAGTGTTAGAACTCTATAAATCATTTTGGGAAATATTTCAGACAAAATTAAAGATATACTGTGCTCGTCCTTGAGAAAAATATTTTAACCACAGAAATTTATTGCAATCATTGAAATTTTTACTGAATATGTGTAGTTTGAATAAAGGAATGAGTAAACTATGTGTGGGAAGCTGCGTTCCCTATTACAGGTCAAGTAAAGTTGATCTTTTCTTAAACTAAACTGCCTCTTTTTATGTCCCCGGGCATATAGTGATTGAACCGTCCGTCCGTCTGTCCGTCCGACGGTCCGTACGAGGTTAACCTAGAACGGCAAGTTGGATTTTTCTTAAGTTCTACCTGTACCAATGGCTTCTAAGTTTACACACTTACTAATCAAAACAAAGTACATGATCTGGGCAAGTTACATAACTCTGGCTTTCATATTTACCAAGTTATTGCCCTTTTCAGCACTTAGAAAATGAATAATGGTTAACCTTAAACGGCAAGTTGGAAATATCTTAAGTTCTATCTATACTAATGGCTTTATAATTTCCACACTTACTTATCAATACAAAGTACATGATATTGCCAAGTTATATAACTGTGTCATCCATATTTCCCAGTTATTTCCCTTTTTTCACTTTGAAAATAGGGCCTTGTCTGGTTAACCTATTTCAGCAAGTTGGATTTATCTTAAATTTCTCCTAATTGCTTAATTTCTTTAATGATATCTTTCATATTTAGTAGGTGGATACCTTTAATGTTCCTCTAATTTTTTGTGGAGTAAGCGGTCCCTAGGGTCAAGGTCAAGATCACTGGTTTAAAAAATAAATATAAACATTTTTGCTCATACAGCCTTTATATTTTAGTTGATGTCTTTGTTTAATACAAACATGCCAAGGGAGGTCCTCCTTCTTTGGGTGTAGTAAGGGGTCATTTGGGTCAAGGTCAATGTTACCAATGTCAAGGTCACCAATGTTAAAAATAGATTTTTACATTTTTACAGGTGTATTGACCTTATTCTATAGACAGATGTTATTTATTATTGATAGAAACATAAACTTTGATGGAGTTAGTGGTCAGTTGGGTCAAGGTCACAAGTGCTAAAAATAGATTTTTACACTTTTGCTCATACAGCCTTTATTTATTGACAGATATATTTTATATTTGGTAGGAAGATAACTTGCATGGTATTCATCCTTTTGATTGGGGTAGGGATCAGTGGGTCAAGGTCACTTGTGTTAAAAATAGATTTTTTACACTTTTGCCCATACAGCTTTTATTTATTGACAGATGTATTTCATATTTGGTAGGAAGATAACTTACATGGTATTCTTCTTTTGGATAGAGTTAGGGGCCAGGTTGGTTAAGGTCGCCAGTGCTCAAAATAGATTTTTACTCTTTTGCCCATACAGCCTTTATTTATTGACAGATGTATTTCATATTTGGTAGGAAGATAACTTGCATCAAGTTGAATATTTTTCAACTTCACAAGTCAGAGCAATGACTTTGCAACTTATATTTTTCACAATTACAAAATGCCATGGCTTTGTCAAGCTATATAACTTGTGTTTACAATTTTTTGGCAATTTTTCTGTCCATAACTGAGTGAATGGGTAAACATTTTTTGAAATATTGCTACTGACAAGAATCTGAGCTGGGGGCATTTGTGTTTAACAAACACGTTCTTGTTTTTTTAATGACACTATATTTTCATATGATGACCACCTAAAGTGTGTAGAATAAAAAATTAAAACACAATGATAACAAAACATGTTTCTTTTATATTCACAAAGAGACTGTGTAGCAATTATCAATATTTTCTAATAGTAAATTTTAGCATATGATATCTTTAAAACATAGTAAGAACATGATAACTCAATATAAAGAATGTATAGTATTATATTGTATTGTATGGAATCTCATGCATTTGTGTTATTTAAACTTCTGTTGATGAAAATAAGCATTAAACTACAATATTGATAATCACTTCCATATTCAGAAAATATGCTGTGGACCAAATGTCTTGGAACTCACAGTAAGTATTGCTGTCCCTGTTATATTGTTTGTAGGAATGTATTATGTTGGTAGTCATTTTGTTTTTGCCATTGTATTTGGACTGCCTATGCTTATTAGAAAATTATATCTATTTGAGAACAACATGTAAAAGTAGTTTTGCAATTTTTTTTGCTCTTCTATGGCTAGAAAAAATCTTTGTGACAAAAATAATAGTCACAAAAAGAACAAACAAAATAAAAAGGGAGCCACATACAAACTCTTTTAATTAAGCTGTGTCTTAGGTGGTCTGTGCATTTTCATTTAGCATCATTTGTGCTCTTTGGTCTGAGACCAGGAGTGATAATTAGGAATACACACATCTCATTAGCAAGCATGTATTTGCTAGGATATTATTTAGTTCAATGACATGTTATATACCTCAGTATAGAAAACAACATATGTGCTTGAACTCCCTATCCAACATTGTGCTGGATTTATTTATGTTGTTTTCCTAACCCTTGCTTTTGTATTAGTTATTTTTTGTTAAGTTAAACATGTTTTAGAGACATTATTTTTGGGGGAGGTTCAACCCTTTTAATTATATTCAGTTTTTCTCCTTGTTTTGGTTAGTGTTTTTACCACATCATTTTTTTTTTTTTTTTGAATTTGACCCATATGCAGCATTATTACTGTTAACTGAATTCAGGTAGGGTTTGATACTTAACTTAGAATGAAATGGTACCATTGAACTTTATCAGTTATTTTTGCTGGTACCAAAACAACACTTTATAGTTTGTTATTTGTGTTATTTGCCATTTACTACAACTATAGAATCCATGTGAAGTTTATAACACACAAATGAATCATTTTAAATTATTTTTCTTTATTTTTCAAACAGAGGAACAAATTAATGCTAAACAGTTTAACACATCATTGTAACACAGCTATTATTTAAAATGTGTTTAAATACAAATTTTGTTATATTTTATGATATTTCAATTCATTTTGATGCACTGAATGAAACTGTGTATATTGTCTTGAAACAAATTTTGGTACCCTCTCTGTACCAAATACTGGTATCCAACCATTATCTTGTCTGAACAACATATTATGCTTTATCAATCTTGAATGTTAGTCTGGTATCAAATTATTGTAACTTAGTCAATTAAAAGAAAAACTGCTTGTTTTTACATTGCTACAACAAAAGTAATGTTATGCTTTGTAAGAATATTTTACAGGAGCTTTATGAAGCATAGAATCCCCAACATTATTATAATGTACAATTTTAACAGATCACATGAAATCACATCCAGAGTAAATTATTTTATTCTCTAGTAAATACTACAAATGTAATATTTTTAGATTTAGTTTTCTTTCCCATTGCAATGTATATACCCAATTTGTCATTGCTCCTGAGTGTACTTGGTTCATTTCAAGCACATTGCCATACCCCACCCTCCCCAGTAATGAATATTATCTGCAATACATGTATTGAATATTATAATTATAAAGACTGAACATGTAAAATTAAAATTTTGTTCTGACATGTAAATTGGTTAATTTCGTGCATGCTAAAAAAATAATTCAGTGTTTTTTGAAAGTAAGTTTAGATTATAAAATTTGTTAATAACAGTAATTATAATGTAACATGATTGTCTTACAATGATCTTTGATACAGGCACTGCAGGGTTGCCATTGAAATTGGTCTGTAATGGTCTGTTTTGAACTTGAGGTGGTATTTAATATTCTATCACATACAACAAAGAGTGTTTTCCCAAATTTGAGGTGGGTTTTTGTGTCGCCTCTACGGAGTAGTGGCAACATATAGGGATCACTTCTCTGTCGTCTGTCTGTCCGTCCGTCACAAAACTTGTCCTGACTACTCCTCATAAACTACTGGTGCAATTTCATCCAAACTTTACAGGAATGATCAGTACCAAGTCTAGTTGTGCATATTGTCAGCATTTTCCGGTTCAATGATTTTTGTAAGAGTTATGACCCTTTAATAATTTTTATTTTTGAAGTTTGTCCGGACTACTTCTCTTATACCACTAATGCAATTTCAATGAATCTTTACAGGATTGATCTGTAGCTCAAGTCCTTGAGCATATTGCACAGGTTTTCTGGTTGAATGATTTTTGTCCGAGTTATGGTTCTTTGATAAAAAGGTGTTTTTATGCCCCCACAAAGTGGGAGCATATAGCGTTGCACTTGTCTGTCCGTCCATCCTCCGTCCGCCTGTCCGTATGTCCCGAAATCTTGTGAACGCAACTCCTCTTAAACCGGATGGCAGATTTTGCTTAAACTTCCAGGGATGAACAACCTTAATGTGTAGATGGTATTAAAGGAAGGAATTTTCGCTGCGACCAAATTTAACAGAATTATGGCCCTTTGTTGATTTTTTCACTAAATACTATGTAGAAATTTTGTGAACGCAACTCCTATTAAACCGGATGGCAGATTTTGCTTTAACTTCCAGGGATGAACAACCTTAATGTGTAGATGGTAGTAAAGGAAGGAATTTTTGCTGCAACCAAATTTAACAGAATTATGGCCCTTTTTTTATTTTTTCACTATATACCATATAGAAATTTTGTGAACGCAACTCCTCTTAAACCGGAAGGCAGATTTTGCTTAAACTTCCAGGGATGAACAAACCTTAATGTGTAGATGGTATTAAAGGAAGGAATTTTTGCTGCGACCAAATTTAACAGAATTATGGGCCTTTGTTGATTTTTTCACTATATACCATATATGTATGTATGTTGTCAGTGGGGGCATCCGTGTCCTTTGGACACAGTTCTAGTTTTCTGTGTGTTGCCAGATACACAAAAGCTTGTCCAGATTACTCCTCATAAACTATTGGTGCAATTTTATCCAAACTTTACAGGAATGATCAGTACCATGTCTAGTTGTGCACTGTCTGTCTGTCTGTCTGTACCTCTGTCACAAACTTGTCCCCACTACTCCTCATAAACTACTGGGGCAATTTCATCCTAACTTTACAGGAATTTATGTCGCCACTACTCCGATCACTTCTCAGTCTGTCACAAAACTTGTCCCAACACGAAATTGGCCATGACATGAGGCGACACATGTGATCACTGATCGCTCTTGTAATATGTTTGAGACAGTCATTTTGTCCTACAGCTGCCTACTCATGACAACACTGACTGCAGTATATATTGTTAACCATTACCACCCTAAATATCTTAAACTTTCAGTCCTGACAAAACCAGTTATTATCATTTTTAAGTGAAAATTTTAAAATACAAATGTATATACTGATTACAAATATGGAATAGTGCCGACCATGATCAGATTGCACAACTGTTCTAGCGGATCTTGTTCTGCACTGGTCACAAGGGTAGAATCTGTTGCTGCCATCAGGTTAAGGGATAATGTGCAGAGCTTTGCATGATTGTATGTTGCTCATCCAATGTTTAGATGAATATACATTCATATAGTGGTGATAATTATGTTTAGATAGTGATTTTAATATTTATATCATATTATAGTATATGCATAAAAGTCTTTGACAGATATTAATGTTTTGAATTTATTAATCTTTATTCAAATAGTTGATTTGTAAATTATTCATTTAATTGTTATGATTTAAAGGGACACCACTGGTTTTTTTGTCATGAAAGTACTGGAAATTTTTTTTCAAGATTAATGTTGCATTTGATGTAGGCCTAAACCAAATTACTTGTGTGCAAAAATCTCTATCCTTGTTTTTCCAGAATAGTTATTTTAATTGTAAAAAATGACCCAAAATTAAATAGCTTTGCAATGCTTTTCACTAAAATAGGGCTAATAATAACACAAATATACAATTTTCAATATATTTTTATGCCCCCACAGAGTGGGAGCATATAGCGTTGCACTTGTCCGTCCGAGTGTCCGTACGTCCGTCCGTCCGTCCGTCTGTCCGTACGTCCCAAAATCTTGTGAACGCAACTCCTCTTAAACCGGATATCAGATTTTGCTTAAACTTCCAGGGATGAACAACCTTAATGTGTAGATGGTAGTAAAGGAAGGAATTTTTGCTGCGACGAAATTTAACAGAATTATTGCCCTTTATTGATTTTTTCACTATATACTATGTAGAAATTTTGTGAACGCAACTCCTCTTAAACCGGATGGCAGATTTTGCTTAAACTTCCAGGGATAAACAACCTTAATGTTGGAAGGATGAACAACCTTAATGTGTAGATGGTAGTAAAGGAAGGAATTTTTGCTGCGACCAAATTTAACAGAATTATGGCCCTTTGTTGATTTTTTCACTATATACTATGTAGAAATTTTGTGAACGCAATTCCTCTTAAACCGGATGGCAGATTTTGCTTAAACTTCCAGGGATGAACAACCTTAATGTGTAGATGGTAGTAAAGGAAGGAATTTTTGCTGCGACGAAATTTAACAGAATTATGGCCCTTTGTTGATTTTTTCACTATATACTATGTAGAAAGTTTGTGAAGGCAACTCCTCTTAAACCGGATGGCAGATTTTGCTTAAACTTCCAGGGATGAACAACCTTAATGTGTAGATGGTAGTAAAGGAAGGAATTTTTGCTGCGACCAAATTTAACAGAATTATGGCCCTTTGTTGATTTTTATTTTTCAACTTGTGGCACAAGTAGTCCAAAAAATATTTGACCTAGAGTCATAAGATTGACAGAACAGTGGCGTGTGGGGGCATCCGTGTCCTATGGACACATTTCTAGTTGAGTATATTTCTCAGTTATCTTTTGCATATGTTTATGTTTTAAGTGCCCCAGCTGATCTATTAATCTAAGTTTAATGTTTTTAGGCTTTTGGACTTCAGTGGAGTTCCTTTAAACATATTTCTGTATATTAAATATTATACATGTACATGTATTCTTATAAAAGTGTAAAGCTTTATTAAACTAGAAATTTTCTGACAAATAGAAATATTTATTTTCAACTTAAGAACTACAGAAATTTGTGTAGATTTTACTTATTTTACAATTCATTTTACAAAAGTCGTTACATTACAAATGTGTATTGACATTTTATTCATACAATACATGTTTTCTTAAAGAACAGTACTTCCTTTGGGTTTGGTCAGTTTCTACACATTTTTTTCAGAAGAGAACGCTGGTGTTATATTCTTTATATATTTGCTTGTCTGTTATTGATAGAATGTTAAATTTCAAAATCAACCAAAGTACCTTAGGTGAAAGATTGTTCTTTGACATGAGTGGAAGATAGATAGATAGAGCATATTTTTGGGAAAGCAAATGGTGCTTTTGAGAAATTATCATTTAACATATTTAAATTAGCAACAGAATATTTTTATTGGAGATGGTGAGGGGGGGGGGGGGGAGTTATTTTATTAAAATATAATATTTATGAGGTTCAATGACTGGACTGTATTTTTAGCTCGACTATTCGATAAGAATAAGTAGAGCTATTGCAGTCACCCGAGCGTCGGCGTCTGCATCCGTGTCGGCGTAACCACTTATGTTAAAGTTTTTGTAATAGTTCAAATATTTTCAAAGTCCATTGACATATGGCTTTGAAACTTTGCACACTTGTTCACCATCATGACCCCAACCTGTAGACAGGAGGAGGTAACTCTTATCAAGCATTTTGACAGAATTATGCCCCTTTTTCGACTTAGAATTTACGTGAAAGTTTTTGTAATAGTTCAAATATTTTCAAAGTCCATTGACATATGGCTTTGAAACTTTGCACACTTGTTCACCATCATGACCCCAACCTGTAGACAGGAGAAGGTAACTCTATCAAGCATTTTGACAGAATAATGCCCCTTTTTCGACTTAGAATTTATGTTAAAGTTTTTAGTTTTTGTAATACCTCAAATATTTTCAAAGTCCATTGACATATGGCTTTGAAACTTTGCACACTTGTTCACCATCATGACCCCAACCTGTAGACAGGAGGAGGTAACTCTATCAAGCATTTTGACAGAATAATGCCCCTTTTTCGACTTAGAATTTATGTTAAAGTTTTTAGTTTTTGTAATACCTCAAATATTTTCAAAGTCCATTGACATATGGCTTTGAAACTTTGCACACTTGTTCACCATCATGACCCCAACCTGTAGACAGGAGGAGGTAACTCTATCAAGCATTTTCACAGAATTATGCCCCTTTTTCGACTTAGAATTTATGTTAAAGTTTTTGTAATACCTTAAATATTTTCCAAGTCCATTGACATATGGCTTTGAAACTTTGCACACTTGTTCACCATCATGACCCCAACTTGTAGACAGGAGGAGGTAACTCTATCAAGCATTTTGACAGAATTATGCCCCTTTTTCGACTTAGAATTTATGTTAAAGTTTTTGTAATACTTCAAATATTTTCAAAGTTCATTGACATATGGCTTTGAAACTTTGCACACTTGTTCACCATCATGACCCCAACCTGTAAACAGGAGGAGGTAACTGTATCAAGCATTTTTTTTTTACTATCAAGCACTTAGGATAGTCGAGCGTTGCTGTCCTACCGACAGCTCTTGTTAGAAATAAAATCAAAGATATGGAAACACAAATCTTTTTGAAATTTTTATAGCATATTCCACTAGATATCCCATCTGAAAGGTTCCCTTAATGTTTCAAGTAAAACTTTAAAAATCTAATCCTATTTCTCTGAAACACTAAGGGTTTGAGCTTATATATAAGGCATGAAACAGTGTTTAGTGTATATATGGTATTTCAAGATTGTATATTTGACATCCTGCATACATTTCTTGTTATATAAAGACAAAAAATAATTATCACATATGAAAACATTTCTATTATGCCGCTCTAATTATCATGTTTTCAAGCTGTTACATTTATATTGTTATGTTGATTTATTTCTATATTATTTTCTTACATAGAAAGTACATGGGTGATGTTTCATGGAACACACAGTAAGTTAAAATCTGTTAAAAGTTCCAGTGTTTGCTTCTGCAGTTATCCCCCTTGTTAGCAAACAGTTTTTTTCTTTCATTTCTTAGTGTATAATAGAAGCATGTTTCAAGAGATTAAGATACAGCTTCATGTAGGGTGTTTCTGTTACTATTGTTTTGTTTATTTTTTACCACCATTAGAGTGTGTTCCCTATTTGTCAAGATGGTCAGAGCAACAATAAAGCTTAATTGTTGGTATGCAGGTTAATTGCATGATTATGTTTTTGTTTGTATAATATCCAGGGGCTTTAAAATTGTATCAAAGATTTAGAGGAACATTTATTTTCTGGTTTAAGGGTCTGCATTTAATATCTAGATTAAAGTTTAGTAGATTAGTAACATTTAAGGTTCTAAATAGAAATATATTTGAATGCTATATGTATATTTATATGTTATATATTGTTTTTTCTGATCAATTGAATGTTTCAACATTTGTGAGTATTCAGTAGTGAATAATTTCCTGGTGGAAACAGTTTGTGACAACAGTTTGAATATTTCATTGGAATAATGCATGGCATTGTTGAGAAGGAGTAACTGTGATGCCTGTCACTTAATTCAATTTGTTTAATCAAAATACAGGCATCCTTGAGAGTTTGGAAAATAAAATATCTATGCAAGGTTAGGACATTCAAAATGATTTATTTTGGTATATAGTAGATACATGTACCATTGGCCTTTCAATGATTTCCCCATTTAAAAAAATCAACTGAAAGATATACATATTTGTTCTAATCTTCCCTTTTAGAATTTTGTATTCCTTACCATATATTAGATGTTCATTTATTGAAATTATATTATTTTGATTTTGTTAAGAACATTTCATTTCCATTTTCAGGTTTGGGTTGGGAAGAAAGCCTGCATCAGAATTGTCGCCTGGGTCACGGAAAACTATGACAGGTCCATTAAGTTCAAGCCAACAACAACAACAGTTACCTACACAAGGACAACAGGCATTTAATATACAACTCCCTAAACAGAGAAAGTCGGTATGATAGTTATCATAAAATGTTATCATAAAAAATTATCATGAAAGTTGTCATGAAATGATTATCATAAAAAGTTATCATAAAAAATCATCATGAAAGTTGTTATAAAAAGTTATAGTAGAAAGTTATCATAAAAACATTTTTTCCATTAGCCATTACAAAAAGTGTTTGCTTTCTGTGAAGTGCTTGTTTTGTTTTGAGGCAGTTTGTATAATGTAAATGTGAAAAACTTTAGTTTACTGAATCTGATAGTTATGTAGCATAAACAGAGAAGTGTTAGATTGTATATAAATAGCAATATATAAGTTTAAAGTGTCACACAAATATGATAGAAGATGTCAGTGAACAAGAGTGGAAATTTGGATTTTGTTTTATGAATACCTTTTAAATGATTGACTTGTATTTCAGGGAGGATTTTTCGGTGAAGAGGAAGACAATGAAACTAGCATGTTTTTTCCTGGATCTTCTAATATATTTAGACCTGAAAAAGATGTAAGTATTTAATCGATGCTGTTTATTCAATATATAATTTCCTTACATTTGTCTTGCAACAGAAATTTCATGATTGAATAATTTTTTATAAACATATGCGTAAAAGCAAAGAGTGAATTGTGCTGTAATAGAGATGTCTACAAAACTTGTTATGGCATTGTAAACATATGGTGCTGAGTAGTATTAAGTATTAATTTTTATTCCATATATGAGTCATCATATTTTCTGTCATGTGAATGATTGTTTGTGAATGAAAGTTTTCAATTGATTGTTTGTGAATAAAAGTTTTCAAGTGAGGAAGCTGTCAGGTTTGATTCTGCATTTTTTTGCTTGATCCTAAACAACAATAGGCTTCCACCATTGTGGCTAGAATGTTCTTGTATATTTTTGCAAAATTTCAGTGTTACTTTAAATTCATCAACAATGAAAATAATAATCTTTAATCATTACATATAGCGAGGTGTTAGAAACTAAATTACATTGTATACTTATGTCAAGTAAGATCAATATTGTATTGGAACATGTTGCAACAATCTAACATAATTATATGAGCCACGTCACGACAAAACCAACATAATGGGTTTGCGACCAGCATGGATCGAGACCAGCCTGCATCCAGACCAGCCTGCACATCCGCACAGTCTGATCAGGATCCATGCTGTTTGCTTACCAATCCTATAACAAGTAGAGAAACTGATAGCGAACAGCATGGATCCTGATCAGACTGCGCGGATGCGCAGGCTGGTCTGGATCCAATCTGGTTGCAAACCGATTATGTTGGTTTTGTCATGACAAGGCTCATATGACTTACATTTATCATATTTTACTATAGATGATGAGCCAGTCCCAGTCACCGTCCAACCCTTACAGCTTTGGATCTAATTTCAACACTTCACAAGGTATAAATATTCAGTTTTATAGCTAAACATACTACAAAAAGCAAACCAATATTTTGTTAGAGAATGCCATGTTTTGCTCAATACATAATTCATGTGCATGCAATTACAGAATAGTGTCATTGGCATTTATGTGTTTCATTTTAATCTGCAGTTTTTGTGTCGCCTTGACTTTTGTCGTCGGCGTTATTGCTGGCGTCCCCAAAAGCTTGTCCAGAGCATAACTCAGTCACTATAAGTCGGATTGACTTCAAACTTAGTATGCATGCTTCTTTCAATAACCCGAAATGCAGTGCACAAGGACCAGTACTCTGCACTTCTTAATTTTTTAGTTATTGCCCTTTGTCAATTTTCATACTTAATTTTGTCCGGGCCATTTCTCTGTAACTATAAAAGCTATGGACTTGAATCTTCATAAGATGATAGATCTCATTAAGAAAAAGTGCAGTGCACAAGAATAGGTACTCTGCACTTCTTATTTTTTGAGTTATTGCCCTTTTTTAGCTCGACTTTTCTATGAAAAGGGGAGCTATCCTACTCGCGTCGGCGTTAGCGTTGGCGTAACACCTTGGTTAAGTTTTTCGTACCACCCCACTTTATTTCAGAAGTATTACAAGTATGGCTTTGAAACTTACCATACTTGTTCACCATCATAACCTCCATCTACAGACAAGAGTACATAACTCTGTCAAGGTTTTTGACAGAATTATGGCCCTTTTTTGACTTAGAAAGTGTATTGAGCTTGGTTAAGTTTTTTGTACCACCTCACTTTATTTCAAAACCATTGGAGGTATTGCTTTGAAACTGACCATACTTGTTTACCATCACGACCTTCATCAACAGACAAGAGGACATAACTCTGTCAAGGTTTTTGACAGAATTATGCCCCTTTTTGACTTAGAAAATACATTGAATATGGGTAAAATCCACTTATTGCCTTAACCCTTTGAGATATTGCTTTGAAACTTTTTAATGCTATTTCACATCATTACCCCCATCTGTACGCAAGAGAAGGTAACTCTGTCAAGGATTTGTTTTAAAAATTAAGGCCTTTTATCGACTTAGAATCTTGGTTAAGTTTTTAGTACCAGTCCACTTTTTGACTGAACTGTTTGAGATATTAATTTGAAAGTTGGAATACTTGTTTACAATCATGATTCCCAAACATGTCCAGGAGAAGGTAATTCTGTCAAAGATTTTATTTGAATTATGGCCCTTAACTGTCAATGTTTTGTATTATAGGCAAGCACTAAAAAAATTAAAAAATCTAAAAAAATTCATTCCTATCCACTTGTTCACTTTACCATAAATCATGTCATATAAACATTGCTGTAATATTCAAGGGTATCAAACAACTAGTTCACTTTAAAAATACAGAGATTCTTGTATTGCCTTTTACTGCAAAAACTTTTTTTATTGGCAAGCAATAAAAAAGTCGAGCGCGCTGTCTTACGGACAGCTCTTGTTAATTTTCATACTTTATTTTTGTCTAGGCCATTTTTCCTAAACTAGGAAAAGCTTTGGACATGAAATTTCATAGGATGATAGGTCTCATTGAGATGAAGTGCAGTGCACAAAACCTGATTTTCTAGGGTTTTTGAGTTATTGCCCTTTGTTAATTTTCATACTTTAATTTTGTCCAGGCCATTTCTCTTCAACTATAAAAGCTATGGACTTGATTATCTTCATAGGATGGTAGATCTCATTAAGAAGAAGTGCAGTGCACAAGAACTGGTACTCTGCACTTCTTATTAAATTAATTATTGCCCTTTAGCAGTGTTTATAAATAACCTACATTTAAGAAAAAAATGCTTAAGTCACAACTATACTGTTCGCAAGGCGACACATCCGACTCGCGGAGTTCTAGTTTTGTTGTCAGATAAGCATATAAAATTAAATCAAATATTTCAGATCAAGGTCACCACAAACATTAATGAGTTGAGAATGTACAGTAAATATTATTAAATATATAGATGTGTTTAAAAGGGATAGGAAAAATTTTCCCCGATCCCCCACGGGCGGGCCCTTTTTCAAATCAAAAATTTTTCAGCTAATTGACCCCAATATTTCTGAAAAGCCCTTTTACACCTGGAACATACCAAAAAAATTCACCAAATAGGAAACCAATTTACCCTTTGTCTAAACGGGAGGGGTTTAGCCAAGAATTTCTTTTAATTTTAAAAGACTGGTCCCAGTATACAGTCGTGTTTTCTATTTTGAAGTTTGTTAGCATAACCGATTTAAAGTCAAAATATCTATTTCATATGACAATATTTACAAATGTGGAATTTAAAAAATGAAGCGACTGATTTTATATGTAGTGATTTTACTACTTTTTTTGCAAATGCCTGTACCTTTTAATTGAAATTTTAGTATTGTAACCATAAGAAAATTAGAAAAATTGAATTTTTTCAGATGATAATACACATAAATTAGATTTCATAACACCTATATATACATTAATATATGCCTTTTAAGTTGAGCTGATTGGGTTTATTTTAACAAAGTTTTGGGATTTTGAAGATTAATGAAGAATTTTCAAAAGTAGAAAAAAATAATATAATCAGCATTTATAGCAACAAATCAGGTGATAGGTTAGAGGTTGTCATAATGTTTTATTTTTACCATGTGTAATAAAAAAGAGATAGAAAATGCTTGTATTACATTGGAAACATAATGAAAGATAAATATATTCTATATTACAGAGGTGTAATATCTGCAATAGGACAACATCGAGCCCCAATTTCGGCCTTACAGAAGAGACCAATAGGGTCAGGACTTCCAAGGTAACTTACATATCATTGTTACAATAACTTGATTTTCAGATTTTGGGAAGTTAATCATTAGTTAATTAAGTTTAAGATCTCATTTACTATGATTTAAAACTGAAAAGAGTTAAATTGAGACATCCTGATTGTTAGTTTATTTGTTGAAATTTAAATTGTAGAAAGAAAAAAAAAATTAATATATGTGGATAAATGTCCGAGATTTTGTAACAGTATGAGAGAAAGAAGAATCTTGACTGTAAACACTTTTCATTGTTTAAGTTCTATGTATTTAATTGTAATGTAAAATATGACGGAAACATTTCCAAGAAATAATCTGAATATAAAATTATGTAAATTTGTACTTCAGTAGTTCAGCTGCACCAATATCAAACTTGGCGTCATCGTTTGGGTTTTCACGAGCAGATATGAACCAACCAAACTTTGATCTGTCCGACTTTCCATCGCTAGGCAACAAAATTAATGCTTCAAACTCTATGTCCTCTGCAAGAAATTATGGTATGCAAATGTTTTTTGTTTTGTTTTTCAGTTTTGTTATATTGTAAAAATTTTATTATTTTCAATGTTTGCATGATTATTGTGCTATCATTGTTTAGTTACTTAATTTTGTTGTGTGATTGATAGGGATTGAAACAATTACCGATTTCAGTATTCAAGTACTCAGTCTGGTTACAGTGAAGATTTCTTAGAAGTTTTAGAGTTTATAACCATAATCTATAGAGGGATGTTTCTATGAAATTTTCCTTTTTTAGTTAAACCTATTTTCATTTTATTTATAGAAATTTTGTTTTCAAGTTGAAGTTTTTCTATAGGGGACATGGATCTCAGAAATTTCTTAAAAAAATTTTTAAATTTTCATTTAAAAATTATACTTAAAATGGGGTGGATCCCTTTTAAATTTACTGAGAAATTTCCATTTCCCAAATTCTTAAACTGATATTTGGGGTGTAAGATCAAAGAACAAAAATGTTACCCTGTTGCAATCCATAGTGAATAAATTTGCATGGAACACAAATCTTAGATAAAGTTTGCTGATGTTAGTTATTGTGCTTTTCTTCCTCTAAAGACCCAAACAGAGGAAAACATATGCTGAAATTTCATTAACTTCTGATAATTTTAACACTTTACCCTCCATGAAAACCTTAATGATAAAAAACTCTAACTATAGACTTGTTTTGCTTAGTTTGCATGATACTAGCATAACTATAGACTTAATGATTGACATAGATTCATGTAATGAATTTAAACATTGAAATCATACGTTGAGATACGTGTTTATAGAGATTAGACGGCTATAGAATGTTGTCTGTTTCATTCAGCGGGATTTTCTCATGTTGCAGTTGGTATGGTAAAAAACCCAGTACAGGACCAGACTCCGGAGTTTCAGATACAACAAGAAGATTTCCCAGCATTACCTGGTGCTCAAAGTAAGTATTATAATTCAAATCATATCATCTTGGATTCATGTTATTTGTTGATTTTACATTTTGACAGTTCATATTTACTTGAGGTTTTAAAGGCTATGAAAGAAGATATATTTGAGAGAAATCAATGGTTTAGTGTGATATTGTAACACCATCTATATATCACATGAGTTACAACTGTTTCACACCAAGCCGTTGTAATGCACTTACATAAAACAAGGTTTAACGTTGGGACAACCATAAGTTTCCCTTGTCCATAATGTAATAAAGCACCACATGCATGGATACATTCTATATTAAATAAGGCCATCCTTAAAAAAATGTTTGTTTGCAGTAACCCGACCCAGAATTTTCAAGGTGGTTTTTTTTTTATTGAACTGTACTCCCAAATAAACATGGAATATCAAAATGCTGGACAATATATGCTTTGATAATCTGGTAACAATTAATAAATTGATAACTGAATTCTAATTTAATAAGACCTACATTTTATTTATTCTATTAACCTTTAAAAGAACGAAAACAAAGCACAAGGCATAATTTTCAGACCATGAAAAAAAATTTTGAGTAGGGGCAAATTTTGTGAGTCGGTCGCGTTACTGCAAACGAACATTTTTTTAAGGATGACCTAATCACAGATATGCAGTGGTGTTTTCCATACTGATTGCCTTATTTAACTTATAGGATATAAAGCTATAAGTAATGAAATATTTTTATTTTTTAATTTATTCACAGTAAAATTATTTTATTTCCAAAATAATTCTAGAAAGAGAATGTTTCTATTATTCAATACACATGAATATTGTACATAAATAGAATGAAATGTTCCAGAACAAAATATTATACTGCTATTGAAGTAGGTTTTTAACTGCAATGATTTGTGCATGTGTCATTTGCTCTTTGGGAAGCATACTACTATATAAGTATACTATTTATATTACTAACATAATTCCTTCATACCCACATTTTTCTCAATTCAAATTACAAGTTTTACAGCAGATATGTAGGTTTATACTTTTCAATCAAACTTTCTTTCTGAACATCCTTTTAACATTTACCTGAAGATAATTTATTTTACAGACATTTAAAGGTCTAAATTGATAAAATCTGAGTAATGAGCAAATTATGTTGTAAATGTTTTAATGTATGTGTATGTATGTTTCAGGTACATTATCAATGTTTGTCTCTGATCCTCAAAATGCAGGTAACACAGACCCGTCAAAGAAACAGGTAAAGTTACAAATTATTAAAAACAGATTTTCTGCTAAAACATTTAGGTAATGGATATGAGCATATTAAAAGAACTAAATCATTCTAATTTTAAGTGCTGTAGAATTATTTTTTATATAACATGTATTTTCAAATTCAAAATATGTTTTGTTGTTTTTCTGTTGTTTTTCTGTTGTTTTTTTATGCAAGGATTAAAGGCTCAGAAATGAATACAATTTTTCCTTTGAAGAAAAGGCAAACTTGGAATTATAATGTTTTAAAAATTGATTTAGAGCATGTTAGAACTTAATCACATGATGAAAGCATTGTTTCATATGAAAGAATTTGTCATGAAAAATAGCAAATAGAAAGTAAAGATGTAATTTGGCCTTGCGTGCAATGAAATGATTCATCAATATGGCAAAAGTGTACAGTTTCAGAAACTGTAACAGAACAGCAAAGTTAAAACTTTCAGAGATATGAAAATAGCATTGGTAGCTTTTATTGGCCTTTAACATACATTTAGCTGATCATCAATGTATACTATACTTTATCTTGATTTAATTGTCTACAGTCTAATTCTTATAAATGACAACAAGGATTTGTTACAAACATGCTATGTATGATTTAAATTATTAAGTCACTTTTCCAAACCTACTTAGCCAAGTGCCATATACTTTCTGAGACTTGATTTCATTTGAAAGGAAAATGGAGTCCTACAAAATATTTATACAAGACCATCATTCTAAAAAAATTCTTTTCAGCCTACCAACTTAATAACAGGATCCTCATATGAACAAGCTTTAAACAAAGATAGCAAGTTTCCTGGAGATAAAGCTAGCTCATCAGCGCAACGGAAAGGCATACAAGTGCATAATGATGGTAACATTATACTTTACTTTTGTCTACTAAACATTTCATTCTAAAGACAACATTTGATTTTATGATTATAGTCATAACAGCCTGAAAGGGATATTATGATCATTTCATTACAAACTGTTGCAAAATTTCTGCTAAAGTCACCAAGATGAAGTGGACATAATAACAGATTATAGATCTGCTAGATTCTGTTTGAGAAATTTGTATGTTAGTTTGCTGTAATTAGGTCATACATTCTGCGTTCTTAAAAAGTCCATCCTTTGAGTTCTTATAATATACTTATAGTAAGGCATTAGTTTTTAAGAACCTTAGAATTGATGTTTGCTTTGCATAGTATGAATTGGTAAGTGACAATATTTTTAAAGCCACATGTCCTTCACTGTTGTGTCCAATGTTCTCTTGGGAGAAGTTGGCAGTTGCCTTTGGAAAAAACATAACTATTTTAGAATCAAGAAGAATAAATGTCAACCAATATAATTATATTACTGAACACTTTTAAATTGGCTCTAATGTCATCAAAATAAAAGTTTGTTCTTTAGAACTCAATCGCAAGATTACAAACTTTATTTTAGCATAATAAATTACTATTAAGATAGTTATTTTCATTATCAGGTCGTGTAACGAATATCCCACAAGGAATGGTGCCTGATCAGTTTGGTATTGTTGGTTTGTTGACGTTTATAAAATCAGCAGAGACAGACCCCAGTCTTGTTGCCCTGGCACCTGGCATGGATCTCACCACACTTGGACTGAATCTCAACTCACCTGAGTATGTGCTTTATTTATATCTTACATGTTTTCATTTTGGCCCTAGCTTAAAGTAGGGGAAATATGTGGGAGTTTAGTAAATTATATGAGCCGTGTCACGACAAAACCAACGTAATGCGTTTGCGACCAGCATGGATCCAGACCAGCCTGCGCATCAGTGCAGTCTGATCAGGATCCATGCTGTTCGCTATCAGTTTCTCTACTTGTAATAGAGTTGGTAAGCGAACAGCATGGATCCTGATCAGACTGCGCGGATGCGCAGGCTGGTCTGGATCCATGCTGGTCGCAAACCCATTATGTTGGTTTTGTCATGACGCGGCTCATATTTAAAAATCTACCTTATACATTTATACTTTTAATTTTATTCATACATGTGTATCAAATTGCATTACTTCTTTTTAGAAACAAGTCAATACAATTAAAAAAAATTCAGAAGTTAAGATAGTTTTATTTTTTAGCAGGTATTGTTTGAAATTTTGAAATATATTTTGGATTGGGAATGGGATCTTGTATAAAGCAACCCCTGGTGATATAGAAAAAAGCCCCTGGGAGTTAGTCATATGCAATATTTTGTATTTCAGTAACTTGTATAGTACTTTCCAGTCACCTTGGGTAGACCTACCATGTAGGCCGCAAGATATTGGTAAGTGCATTCAGAACAATTCAGATATGTCTACAAAACATTTGTATCATTGGATCATTAATGATGACACTGTTTCATCATAAATTTTACATCTTGGATCCTTGAAAGAATTACATAAGGTTAAGGCAGTGATATGGAGTGAGTGGTGTAGAGAAATCTAGAAAAGTAGAGATTCACAAACTTTGGAAAAGTGAAAATTGTAGACTGTTTTTTACACAGATGCAACATACATGTGTGACACATCCTTTACTGGCTTTAGCAGGATTCCATCTTCAACACAATGAAATTTTGGAATAAATAAGCCCGAAATCCAGAACAGATAAGTTTTATTAGCATAAATGCACATTATGTTCATAATTAATATCAATAAATAGGACTTGAATTATGTTATCATAATTGTTTATTTTCAGATTTCCATGTCCCAGCAGAGTATTTAACAAATATATATGTACGAGATAAGGTATGTGTGTGTAAACTATATATATATTTGTCTTCATATGCTTGTTGAAAATTGTTGTATGACTTTTTTGTTTTTGTAAATATTTAATGGATTTCTTTTCATAGTTAATTATCATGGACTTAAGAGTGTATTTACCATAACATTTACATTGGCTATAAGATTCTGTCTAGATTTTATGCTTCCACAATAATTCATTAGTGAGTTTATCGTTTTTAGCTTGAATGTTACTAAGCTTTTTAGCCATTTAGAATTGAAATTTTCAAGTTAGTTTTAACCAGGTTTTCCGAAGGAAAAAACTGGTTATTAGAATGAGGTATGTCGGCGGGCGGGCGGGAGGGCGGTAACAATTTCTTCTGTGCGCAACTCCTTCTACATTTCACAACGGATTTTGACCAAACTTTCACAGAAGCTTTGTCATCAAGTGCCCTGGCGCATTTTGTCGGGGTTTTGCGATTGGATAATATTTGACCTAATTATGGCCCTTTCTTTTTTTTCCTTATATAGAATATATAGTGAACAATTTCTTCTTTGCGCAACTCCTCCTACATTTCTCAACGGATTTTGACTAAACTTTCACAGAAGCTTTGTCATCAAGTGCCCTGGCACATATTGTAGGGGTTTTGCGATTGGATAATATTTGACCTAATTATGGCCCTTTGTTTTTTGCCCTTATAAAGAATATATAGTGAACAATTTCTTCTGTGCTCAACTCCTCCTACATTTTTCCACGGATTTTGACCAAACTTTCACAGAACCTTTGTCACCAATTGCCCTTGGGCATATTGTCTGGGTTTTGTGATTGGATAATATTTGACCTAATTATGGCCCTTTGTTTTTTTTCCTTATACAGAATATATAGTGAACACTACTCAGTGGTAATTCCTCCTACATTATTCATGTTTTACATTGCACATAGTTACATTGTTTGTTGCTTGTATTTGTATTTCAAATACAACATATTTATCTACAATGGTGATAATTGAAAACCTGGTTTCATGGCATTGCCATGTTTCTTGTTTACCGTTGTAATAACTTTACTTCAATTTTCTTTTTTCAGCTTGCACCAATCAAATTGAATCGTTATGGAGAAGATTTATTATTTTTCTTGTTTTATATGAATGGTAGTGATGTATTACAACTGGCAGCAGCCGCTGAACTGTAAGTTATAAATATGATCTGTTACAGTTGTTACTACATTCATGATTGCTTGAATACAAAGAAAGTTATTAATCTTGTATGAATAATTCCTAAAACATTATTAATATTTCGTGATTTTTTCCTCAATCGGCCATCCAAACTTTTATTTCTCAGTGTTTTTTTTTTTGTTGTTGTTTTTTTTCTTTAGCTCACCAGAGCCGAAGGCTCAGGGTGAGCTATTAGTATCAAAGAGGGATGCTCCGGCGTTCATCATCATGCCTCAACAATCATCTTTTTCTCTGAAACTACTAAGCAGATTTATTTCAAATTTGTTCTGTTGCATCCTTGTGACAGTCACACTTGAATTTGCTCATGTCATTCCAATTAGCCCCTTTTAGGGGTCAGCAGAGCTAAAAATAGAAAAACCTTTAAACATCTTCTTCTACAGAACTAATGGATGGATGATCACCAAACTTTGTCTGTAGCATTCTTGGGTAGTCTTTTATCAAGTTTGCTCATATGAATTTGATTGGCCCCTTTTAGGGGTCTCTAAGGCTAAAAAAAGAAAAACCTTTAAACATCTTCTACAGAACTAATGAATGGATTATCACCTAACTTTGTCTGTAGCATTCTTGGGTAGTCTTTTATGAAGTTTGCTCATACAAATTTGATTGGCCCCTTTTAGGGGCCACTAAAGCTAAAAATAAAAAAACCCTTTAAACATCTTCTACTACAGAACCAATTGATGGATGATCACCCAACTTTGTCTGTAGCAATCTTGGGTGCTCTTTTATCAAGTTTGCTTATATTAATTTGACTGGCCCCTTTTAGGGGCCACTAAAGCTAAAAATAGAAAATACCTTCGAAAATCATTTCCTACTGAAATAATTGATATATGATCACAAAACTTTGTAGCATTCTTGGGTAGTCTTTATCAAGTTTGCTCATAGTAATTTGATTGGCCCAATTTAAGCTAAAGATTTAATGCTTCACGTCATGACATTTCTTCAAATTATTGTTTAAACATATTCTATTCATGTCTATTTCTACAGAACTAATTGATGGATGATCACCCAACTTTGTCAGTAGCATTCTTAGGTAGTCTTTTATCAAGTTTAATAATATTATTTTGATTGGCCCCCTTTTAGGGGATTCTAAGGCTTAAAATTGAAAAACTTTTAAACATATTCTCCTACAGAGCTAATTGATGGATGATCACCAAACTTTGTCTGTAGCATTCTTGGGTAGTGTTTTTATTAATTTGATTGGCCCCTTTTAGCTAAAGCTAAAAATAGAAATACTGTTAAATGTCTATTTTTAGAGAACCAATTGATGGATGATCACAAAACATTCTTGAGTAGTGTTTTTATTAATTTGATTGGCCCCTTTTAGCTAAAGCTAAAAATAGAAATACTGTTAAATGTCTATTTTTAGAGAACCAATTGATGGATGATCACAAAACTTTGTCTGTAGCATTCTTGGGTAGTCTTTTATCAAGTTTGCTAATATTATTTTGATTGGCTCCTTTAAGGGGCCACAAAAGCTAAAAATAGAAATACCTTTAAATGTCTATTTCTACAGAACTAATGGATTGATGATCACCAAACTTTGTTTGTAGCATTCTTGGGTAGTCTTTTATCAAGTTTGCTCATATGAATTTGATTGGTCCCTTATAGGGGCCGCTAAAATTAAAAATAGATATACGTTTAAACGTCTATTGCTACAGAACTTATTGATGAATGATCACTAAACTTTGTCTGTAGCATTCTTGGGTAGTCTTTTATCAAGTTTGCTAATATTATTTTGATTGGCTCCTTTTAGGGGCCACAAAAGCTAAAAATAGAAATACATAAATTTCTATTTCTACAGAACTAATGGATTGATGATCACCAAACTTTGTCTGTAGCATTCTTGGGTAGTCTTTTATCAAGTTTGCTCATATGAATTTGATTGGTCCCTTATAGGGGCCACTAAAATAAAAAATAGATATACGTTTAAACGTCTATTGCTACAGAACTTATTGATGAATGATCACTAAACTTTGTCTGTAGCATTCTTGGGTAGTCTTTTATCAAGTTTGCTCAGCCCCTTTTAGTGGCTGCTTTAGCTAAAAATAGAAAAACCTTTAAACATCTTCTACTACAGAACTAATTGATGGATGCACACCAAACTTTGTCTGTAACATTATTGGGTACTCTTTTATCAAGTTTGCTTATATTAATTTGATTAGCCCTTTTTAGGGGCCACTACAGCTAAAAATAGACAAGAGTGATCAGTAATTACATGTGTCGCCTCATGATGGCTAATTTCATGTTGGGACAAAGTTTGTGACAGACGGACAGACAGACAGACGGACAGTGCTCAACTAAACTTGGTACTGATCATTCCTGGAAAACCCGTGCAATATGCGCAAGGACTTAAGCTACAGTTCAATCCTGTAAAGTTTCATTGAAATTGCTTAAGTGGTATAAGAGAAGTAGTCCGGACAAACTTTAAAAATAAATATTATTAAAGGGCCATAACTCTGACAAAAATCATTGAACCGGAAAATGCTGATAATATGCACAACTAGACTTGGTACGGATCATTCCTATAAAGTTTGGATGAAATTGCACCAGTAGTTTATGAGGAGAAGTCCGGGCAAGTTTTGTGACGGACAGACAGACAGACGGACGATGGAGAAGTGATCCCTATATATCGCCACTACTCCGTAGAGGCGACACAAAAAAACCTTTGAACATCATTTCCTACTGAAATAATTGATAAACGATCACCAAACTTTGTCAGTAGCGTTCTTGGGTACTCTTTTATCAAGTTTGCTCATAGTAATTTGATTGGCCCTGTTTAAGCTATAGCTTAAATGCCCCAGGCATGCCATTTCTTCAAATTATTGTTTAAACATATTCTATGCTCAAATTTAATATTAGAATATATTGACATTCCAAAACAGAAAAGCAGTTGTTTCTGGTGAGCGACTCAGGGTCATCATGGCCTTCTTGTTTATATATTTAAAAATGCATTTGATAGTTTAACAAGTTGTTGTCAATGTCTTAAAAGATTGAAGGGAAAAATGTATTTGGATATGTCACTACATGGAACATTGCTTTATTTATTAGATACAATCGAGACTGGCGATATCATAAAGAAGAGCGGGTGTGGATCACCAGAGCTCCCGGTGTAGAACCACTTGTCAAAACTAACGCATATGAGCGAGGAACTTACTATTTCTTTGATGCGCAGAATTGGCGAAAAGTTGCAAAAGAATTTCATCTTGAATATGATAAATTAGAAGAACGTCCATCACTGCCGCCAACATTACATCATAATCCCAATCAGCCAATTGCAGCTCACTAGCACATGGCAATAAGTCTGTTTTTTAAATTGAATGTGCAATCAGGGTGATTTAAGTGCTTATTAACAGTCCGGGTTGTTCAGATAGATTAGAAGCATTCATTTGTGTGACATAAATGTTAAAACATAAAGGTTAGATTACATAGATCCTATTTAAACAAATTTACATTCCAGGATATGTAACAAAGGGGAAATATTGAGTATTACTTAAAATATTCATATGCATACATTCTGATTATAAATTTGAGGAGCAAGTCATTATTAAAGATAAGGTACTTAGTACTGTATTCTAATGATTTTTATCTTAACTGGAATAAATATATTTATTGTTAGGTATCTATATATAAGAGTTTAGTCTAAAAGTTAAATCTATATCTGATTAAAGAAAGGGTTGTAACTAACTGTCAGTATGTCGTAACTAAAACAGTATTATATTTTACCTTTGATAAAAATAAGACAAATAACTGTCAGAAACTTTAAATTTTATGTTTCCTGATACTGTAAGTTATTTTTAAATATAAATGTATAATAATAATGCCCTTAGGGACCTGTGATGGACAACTTCCTTGTTGTACATGCACAATTTACCCTATCTGGACACTTGATTCCCCTGTAGCTATGTGAGAGTTAACTTCTCTTCAATACATCAAGTTATCTCACCTGTTAAAGTGAAATCACCCATTGAGAGCTATCATTATTATGCTGGTTTTTACCTGTCCAAAAACCATGAGAAATAAATAACATAGAAGTGTGCTGAAGGCAACATTGTCTGATTAAAGAACAAATATCAAACAAGTGCTAAAATTTTCTATTTTGTTCAAAATTTTATTTGGTCCCATTATATTTTTTTTTTGATTATATCCATTGTTTTATAAATTCAATATTTAATGTCTATGGTATTCCTTTAGTTGAGATTCAATGGCAATAGATAGGAAACAAATATTTGGAATGGTCATTAATTTTCAATATCATTGAAAAAAAAATGTAAAACTGAAATTTTGAATTTGAATCTGTTACTGTGTCATGATGCTATATTTGTTTCATGGTCTTACCATTCTTTGACTTTAGAACAGTCAATTAAAGATTTGAAAAATTTTAATAACAGAATAGCCAACAGTATAGAGGCTGATCCGGCTGGTCATTATTGTTGGTATAAGTTAATATCGTCACCACAGATTCATATTTATACATGCTGGTTTTAAATGTTATTTAGGAGAAATATTTTTAATTTCTGTTGGTTAATTATCTATTTTATTAACACCTTAAACTTTATATGTGAAAAAATGGTAAAACATCATTTCATGCATATGAATAAGTATTTAGTTGTTTGTATTCAGTTATTTTCTGTAAGGCATTATATTTCTGTTGATGATTATTTTTACCTTGATGTGAATATACATTATATATTAGGACAAATGATGATGCAGGTAGTTTTTTTGTGTTATTTATTTGTTATGGTTTGGCTTTATAAGACTGGCATTTATCATGTATATAAAAGATTAAACATGTCAACAAACATTTGTCGTGTTTTTGTCATTATTTAGCAATGGTATATACACATCAATAAGTGCATACTATGCCAATTTTGAAAGTTTTTGTTTGGATTGAGCAGCATTGAATGTAATTCTGCCATTTGTCAGTCGTGCTTATCTTGTTCCAAGATGCTGAACAAGTTCTCAGCTGACTAAATAAACCCATGTACATGTGTGTACTTGATAATGAAGGATGAATGTAAATAGGAAACTTACTATATGTCAATACACTTACTGAGTGAATGATAACTGGTAGCTTTTTATATTGAAGACTTGTATTGGCTGTATGAGAAATTTGCTAGAAATATACAGTATGCAGAGGTGTTGGACGACATTTTGAGAAAACTAGTGCGAGTACAGAATTAGTACATACTCATAAGGTTAAAGTAACACACTTCCATGTAATTGGTAATTTTAATTGATATGTGCTAAATAGTTGATCACACAAATAAACTGAAATGCTCATGCCTTTCATAAAGGAAAAATCCCAACTGTAAGTATCGGTGTAAAAGAGAATTGTTTTAGTGTATTTGGTCCTATCTTTCAGAAGGCTGGTAAATAAATAAATTGGTACACATAATCACCATAAGTAGACAATGTGTTGCACTAGACCCAGCTCAGTATCTTCTAGGTCAAGATTTTGCTTGGAGGTCAGAGGTCAAATCCTGTCCAGCTTAGAAGTACTTTCCTTTACTTGAACGATTGGCAGAATATTTGGTATACAGTATGTCTTTACTACAGTCAGACATTCTGTCACATGCAAAATCCACGGCATCTTCAAGGTTATAGTTGGAGGTCAAAGGTCATATTGTCATTATTTGTTGAAATATTTTGCATATGTCTTCACCACAGTAAGAAGATTTATTATATACTTATAAATGAAATATTGAGAAATATTGATGAAATAAAATGCGTATTTTCATTTTCCGTATTTTCACTGTAAAAATTTATTTTTCACTGCAGTGAAACATATTTTCCGTATTTTCACTGGTGTCTTGCCGAACTACTTTCTTTTAAATTCTGCCAGTACACAAAATTTAAGGGAAAGTATTTCAAATTTTATCGCAAAAAAGAAAAATATATATATAATAAACAGAAAATTCAAGTTTTTTCTATAAATACATGATTTATTTTCATCTTGTGGCATGAAAATTACCATATTTCACTCGTGGCTACCGCCACTCATGAAATATTTATTTTCATACCACTCGATGAAAATAAATAATGTATTTATAGAAAAAACTTGAATATCCTCTATATATTTTACACAAGATGGTAAAGGTTTCACTTGAAGTTAAAGTGTTGTGTCCGCTTTCCTCTGTGGCTCATAACTTTATTATTCCTAGGACTGTCAAAACATTCAGGACATCTTCACAAGGGTCACAGAGTAAAGGGGTTTGCACAAATTGTATTCAGTTTATTACTATGGTTTTACTTTATAGATTGTTGAATTATTCTGCATATGCCACAACCACAGTCAGACAATATGCCGCTTTAAAAACTTGCCTCGTTCTTTAAAGAACTTAAGAGAATGTTAAGCAAGTATTTTCTTTTGGAATGATTATATGTATATTATCCCAATTTAGCAACTTACTATTGCCAATTCCATTAATGGGCAAAACAATATAGGAAGTAGCAATTTTTCCCAAAACAAAATCTACTACTGTTTTTGACTGGTGCATGAGGCTTGTTTGTCAGTTGTTGACCACAAGTAAAAACTGAATCTCCATGACATTATTCCCCACCCTGACATTTCCAGACTAGTAATACTCTGTTCAGATGATATTTGTACATTTTCAGAGAAAACCAACATTATTATTATTGTTTCAATCTTATTTATTCAAATAATTTCCATAATAAATATATTGACTAACATTGGTTACTTTTACTGTTATAAGCAGCAAAAAGCCTGACACTAATTTCAATCACATTGTATAAAAGTTGAAAAACATGAATGATGTGCGATAACAAATTTCACAATACTTTAATATGATAAATGTATGGAAAAGTCCAACTTTTCTAAAAGTACACATGACCTTTTAAGAATACATAAATCTTTTCCCACTAAATCCAATTAGAAATATCAACAGTGAATTTTCATTTGATTATTCACATATTAATTTCAGGTTAAAATAATGGAGACATTACCCCATAATTTTAGCAGAAAAAAAACCCAATGTCAATGCCATACATAACCTATATATTATGTGATAGAAATCTCACATTAATCTCACATTAAATGTAGAAATCCTTTATGGCTTTACAATATAAACCATCATATGTTTGACCAAAGTAAGGTTGACATAACCATATTGTTACAATATCACACATTTAATTCCTTTATAACAATTCTCACGTTCATTGAACATGCACAATTTTGCTCTCTTTCCCTCTGAATAAGAAAATCTATGTTGAAATAACACCACACCTAGAACTGACTTTTGATATATCTGTACATTTAAAATTTAAGTTCATATCCATGTTGTCACACTTAAACATACATATATATTACTTCAAATGAGCAAATACTATATTTTATTTTCTGTTTATCTTTCATACATCCTACAAAAATATACATCACTACATACATGTACTTAAAATAAATATAAACCTAGTTTAATCTTTAATGAGAATGAACACATTGTATTAACAAATAATTTTGTGTACATTTTCTATAAAACAATAAAAAGTATAAACACATTATAACAGGAAAATTATTTCCATTTTATATCCCAAAAATCTTATAAAGATTAAAATTATACTAATACATTGTGAACATCTGTCTCTTTCACTAAATAATTTTGAGTATGTCATTACAATCATTACAAGAGATTTTGTCAACTAAATTACCAACATTTTATGACAAATACCACACACACATTCATCACTATGACAGATATGTAGAGATGTATCCCTATACTAAGTTGATGTAAGAAGATGTTTCAATAAATTCTTTATCAATCATCCAACGAGTGAAAAGACATTAGTACAGTACAAAAATTCCCTATTTTAGTGATTATTCTAGCGCGGAATGACAGGGCGCTCCGCCCTGCCCCTTTTTAGGTCCGCCCTTTTGCCTCTAAAACACCGCCCGTATACGGAAATGCGCCCCGCTGCCCTCTTTTTCCTATACCCAATCAATATGTATAAGATAGATCTACATAAAAAACTGTCAATCACTTATCTATAAGATAAGATTATGATGTTGACACGTTCCAATATACAAACCGGGTGCCCCACGGCGATAACAAATGACTGACCGATGTGAAGTGGGCCGTGTGAAGCGGCCCCGTGTGAATTGGTTTCGAGATCAAATTAGCTATGTTTGCTACAGTTTGAAATGATTAGTAAGGAACATTACCGACTGATTGATAATCCGTGGTCATTAACTGATTAAAATGGCAATGATTTACGGAGACAATCGAATTGTAATGCATTCGCTAATTTGTTTGTTCACCAATGTCGGTAAAAATTCGTACAACTTACAGGTAATTACAATTAATTATTTACACATATTAATCTCTTTAATTGCGTAAAGACTCTTTAAAGTCATAAGGATGGGTGTTATGGTTTTCATTAATTAGTTGTTCATTTGAGAAACAAAATGCCGGCGTCTGCGAAAAGGAAATTTGCAGAAATTGAAAAAGAGCGAAAATTCGCAAAACAAACCACAGTATTTCCTCTTTTTTTGGTGCTAAAGAAAGGTACGATAAAAGTTATTTACATTTGCTAAGAATCGATTTTAAATGTGTTTCTTCCTTGCAATTCAACATTTATATAAAAGAAGGTGAAATAATTTGTGTACGAAGCCACAACACTAGCAGTACGGCCCTGGGACTGAAGTACGGCCCTGTACTGCAAGCCGTTCGTTACATAGACTGTTTATACTGTAATCGTACGGTAATTATACAGAAAATAAACAAAGACAATTATGAGTAAGCGAATATTTGTCTCTAGCTGTAAGACATTTTAATGAATTGAATGAATTATTAATCTACAGATTAACCGTTTTTCTGCGGTTGAAGTCGGGAGATTTTTTTTATGAAATAGTACAGTAACAACTTCAGTTAGAATCTATTTGTTACCTGTAAAATCATATGTGAAATATCATAATAAATTGCAAGATAATGACAATTTGTAATCAATTTCAATCAATTCGAAATTAGATTTACTTTATAAAGATAAAATCGTTGTTTTTTTTACTAAATGTGACTGTTATTGTGAAATATAAAAGATGACTGAAGTAATTTCAATAACTTGAAATTGTTTTATAACCCAAATTTAATTAGAAAATTAACCAGTCTTTCTATATTATTACAGAGTGACGTAAAGTAACAAACCAATTATCACTGCTCAAAGTACAGATTCAAATAACGAAACAAATTCCAAGTTATGAAAGTTTTTAACATGAAACCTTAAAATTTACATAAAATGTGACAATGTAAATGTAGCCCTGCAATAAAGTCATTGATACAAATATATACAGCCAGTACAATTCTTTCATTGAAATATAATTTCCATGAGCTTTAAATCTATAAAAATAGTACAGAGGACAGTCATGAGAAAAGTGAACATGAAACCTTCAAAGACACACATGAACAAACAAATATGACATTTTCTGTAAAATTGTTCACAACATTTTTAGCACACACAGAATTAAGCTGTTCATTGTAACACAATTAAATATATAATTGTCTAATCACTTTTTTGCCAGGGTGGCATACAGAACTATTCACCTTCTTGAGGTACATGCAGTCACAAACAGTTCTTAGTTTATCTGTCTTGGTTTTAAGCTGTGCCACTTTTTAAGAGTTCTCTCAATGTCAAGGTATTTATCATTTCTGTGAATCATAAGAAGCTGATGCACACTATTGACACTATCACCATAAATATAGAAAATAAACACCACACAGAAAGTGTTGAGATAAAGGGAGGTAATTAATCTACTGATAAGATATGAGTTATCTGACCATGATTATCATAACGTCATAAACTATCTGTATTGACACATGTTCCACCCTGCCCCTTTTTGATGCCTCCCTGCCCCTTTTTCAAGTCTAGAATAATCACTACTATTTGTATGGCTTATCATTCAAAATATTACAATAGTCTCTATATTTCAAGCTACTAACCCACAAAAACATTTTGTTGCACTGGGTTGATACTAAAGCAGGATTAAAGTGTCTTTAATGACCTATTAAATTTCTGGGAGCAAGAAATGTAAAGGTCATATAGTTTCATGTGAGTAGTTTTATCTTTTGGTAACTTTAAAAAAGAGAGCTTAAATCATTGTTTATGGGATAGTAGCTTAAGTAGGGAATACAAAATAACATTTAGCACTAGAAGAAATGATGAGACAATAATTACATAATAATATATAAACATCTTAATAATTTATGTCTATGTACAATTAATAACTAGTATAAAATATGGCTTGCAAAACATGTGACCACATTTCAATTCAAGAAAGTACAACATTAGTAAACAATACAATAAATAAATGACACAATGATGATAATAATCTGATGTTGTTTCTGCTAACATTAATGATGAATTTGTGATCTGACTTAAGGTAGCTAGATTACTTAACACAAACTATTATCAGGTCAATGGAAAATGTCTATGTTAGCTCACATTTTAAAAAAAATCTTGTCTACGAAATCTGTATTTTATTTACCAATTGTGTTCTGCTTGAACATATCTTGAGAAATCAATCATTAACAAAAATATTTTCCAATTCCTACAACTGGACTTCACAGACAAGTTTAACTGTAATTATGTCTCTGAACACTTCATATTGAGTCAAAGATGATTTCAGTATTTATATACAATGACATGGTAGATACATGGTTCCAGCACCAGTTACAAATGTTTATATACAGATAAGACCCTTACAGTAAACCCCGTCATATTAGGAAAATTAAGATAGATCCATCAACACTTTACTAATTTCAGACCCTTGTGATAATATACCCTGTAAATTTTCTTGAATGATATTAATTCAGTATGTTTAAACAAGCTAAATACATGTAGTTTCTAAGAAGAAAATATAATTCATTCATAATACTTATGAATTTATTGAATGGTAATGCATAAATCATAGTTAAACAGAAAGACATATCCATGCAGTACATTCCTGTTTTGTTAACTTACAATTCAATGTGAACACAAAGTTAATCTAAGATCAAATGGCAGGTAACCATTTCTGAAGGTAAATCAAAAAGAATAACACAACATTATGAAAGTTTTTTAACTGCTCTCATTAGAAAAAAAACCAACTTATAGAGAATATTCAAAAACAAAACTTATTGGCACTTCAAAGGACTGCGTTACAATTTCATCTTTCATTTAATTTTGATAGACAACACCTATATGTTTATGGCTCAACGAGCATGTAAATTGCCTTTAAATAGCAAACAATGGTTTCTTAATACTACAAGTTCACGCTTTATATAATGCACAAATATCTTAAACTGAACACATACAAAAAGTACCAATATACCAGCAAAGATGAATACAAAATAAATGAGTTCAATTTTCATATATAATAATTTACATTTTCATTTTTCACACATTCACTCAATATACCATAAAACATTTCTAAATTTATCAACTATCACTGCATGCGATATACAAACAGATCTGTTCTTTGTACACCACAGAAACAAACAAACCTATACCACTTAGGACCACTGTTGATCCTGCTTGGTAAAATATCTTGAACAATGTATCTGATAAATATGCCCTACCCATATCATTTATACACAGTATATAAACAAAATTATGTTGATCACAGAGCAAGCAACAAGCCTTCATGCATCACTGAATTCTGAAGTTTATGAGTGAGTGACTAATTAGTTTATTCATCGTCAGAATCATCCATATCTGTAGAGTAGTCCGAGTCGTTACTGGCCTCGGCATCGTGGTCCCCGGCCTCGTCCTCCGTATCTGAGATATCCCACTGTGGGTGGTCCTCTACTAACTTCGCCTCCTTCACATCCAACTGTAATAATATAAACATATATTATAAATAACATACACTCTCTACATATAGTATATCTGATATCATACAACCCATAAACTCACTAAAATTTACTTTATATTCACTCTATGAACTAGAAAATAATTAATTACAAAATTCATCAAAACATGAAAAAGTCAAAATCTAAATCCATTTTACACACTAAAAATTATTGTTTAAAAACTTATGCTTTTGGGAAAATTGCAACAAAATATGTTAAATGTGATATTTGAAAGAATATGTTATAATGCCAAAGGAGAAATCAATTAAATATGGCAAGATGACCAGGTGGTTAACACATCAGACTAGTTATCTAAGGATCTGCAAGGCAAGTGAGTTCAAACCCTGTTAAGGGCAAGCTGTTGTTACCTTGAGCAAGAAACTGGACACTCATTTACCAGTACTGGTTAGTTCCAGGAACAGATTCAAGAGTATGTTTATGAGCTTATTGCTTCCTACACAATCAAACTAAAATAAATACTGTATAAACTAATTAAGGGAAAACATGACAGAAAATGAGACAAGAAATACTCAACAAAGAGTAACCAAAGACATACCTTAATGTTGTGAACCTGATCAAAGTCAAAATAACTGTCTGATCTTAAAATGATGTTATATGTGTAAATACCCGGTTTGGGTGGAGCTGAAAACTTTAACTGCATCTGAAATAATAAAATAACGTTTAAATTACTAAGTTGATAATAAAGGTACTATAAATCTCATTAGTATTTGCTTTTTGGTTCATTATACATCAACAATAAGAGATACATTTCCAGCAAATTTAAGGTAGGTATCCAACTATAGAATCACAAACTTGAAAGAAACAAAAGAAAGATTTATCTATCTTAACATTTATAGATATATAGAGGATATTTGTTTGTTTTGCATGTAAGATTGAAATATATTTCAATCTTATATGTAAAACAAATATATTTTCTTTTTATTTCATGCTTTTAAGTGATTTTAAGTATTTTTACTGATTTTGCAGCGTAACGTTGCGCATTCTCCTTTATGACGTCATAACATCATGACGTCACATCATCAATTTTGAAATATAGTTGAGTTCTGTTAGATTTCTCAAATTTTGTTACATTTTTAACATGATGTATGGTAACATCGCCTTTCTTTTCCTAAAGAAGCAAAATTTACGTATGACGGCATTTATTTCTGCATGTTATTCCATTTAGTTATGATTTTCTTTTCATCCGCATTCAGATATAGTCCGGCTACAGTGAAAATTATATTTTATAAATTTCACTAGTGGTTTATCAGAATATAATTATCTGATATATTACAATAAAACACTGGAAAGCATGAAATAAATTTATATAAACCCCATTACTAGGGAACTATAAACATTCTATTTATTTGTGTAACAAAAATAAACCAACTTTTAATTCTGCACTATTTTAATTACAGTCTTGCCCTAAAGTAAATTTGGAACTTTTCATTATAAAGATTTCAAAATGTTAAAACTTAGCAGCAGCAGCATAGATTCAGATAGCTGGCAAATCAATACTGTTGAATGTCTTCAAAGGTATATAAAATATAAAGAGTATATAAAAAGGTCTCTGACAATAACAGTGTCAACAGACTAAAATTTTAAATACAACATATATTACCTCTTCCACAGTTTTGAGGGACAATATCTGTACAGGTGCTGTAATCAACATATGTTTCTTCCTATCAGCCACATATAACCACCAACCTTCTTGCTTCTCCTGAATTATATCATAGTTTACAGTTAACTTATATCTTTCAAAGTCAGTAACTATAAATTGCACTTATTACATCAATGCAATCTAAATTTTTGTTCAATATTTCTTGTAAAGACTAAAATGAATATACACAAACTTGATTACACCTTCAACGGCAAAAATACCAAATAGGACTTCTCATTTACAAACGTAAAGCACAAATGACTTATCTTTGAAATTTACAATCAAAGTCGACATCATGATTTTCAAACAGAACTTTATAGAATAATCACCACAAATATACTGATTTTCTAATAAAACCACTATTTTATTCAAGCTTACATCAGGAAAGTAAGGGCAGTGAACTGGGTGACTCTCTTTTTTCTTGGTTTCAAGGGAGTTCTCTTTCTTGGACTCTTCCTGAAATTTTTCCCAATCATCTTCATCATTCTCGGTCTCTCTTCTAGTTCTCTTAGATTTCTTCTTCGTTGCAACAGCTTTCTCTTCTTCTGGTTCTGACTCGTTTTCTGACTCTGTAACATCTTCATCATCATCTTTCTCCTCTGCACCTTCCTCCTGTTATAATAGTAATGATAAACTTCAAGGTCATATCATATAAACTGAAAATAATTAACAAAATATTACAAGTCTACAAAGGCTGTGATGGGTTTTGCCATGATTTATGATGAGTGCCAAATACAAATGAAAACAAGAGGGCCATGATGGCATAAGATCACTCATCTTCCTGTGTGCGAACATATTTAAGTAAACCGGACATTAAAACACATCAATTATCTCCATTCAAAGCTGAGGCAAATCTTTTAGGCTTGTCCTAAATGAATCTTTGTAAAATCAAATAACCCTAGGGTCAAGATGTACAGAAATTTAGTAGAGGTCTACCAGAAAATGTTTCACGTCAAATATCTGAGCTCTTGGTCAAGGCTTCAATGAATCAGGTATGGAATATGTCTGCACTTTTTCTGCTATGAAAATATCTGGCAAATTTTATCAAATTTGGTTGAAGGGTTGCAGATAAGATTTCATTGGTACTAATTATGGACGACAGACAGTCAACAATAGTAAAAGCTTACCATAAGTACCACATCAGTATATATCATACATTTAAAACTTTATCTACCTGGTCATCATTTCCAGCGTTCTCTTGTTCTGATTTTGCACCAACATTTTGAACAGCTGGTTTCTTCCACTGGTAGGGTTGTTTAGTCTTCTTTCCCTTTGCTTTTGCAGGTTTTTTCTTTCCTTTACTCTGTTTTTGCCAGGCTTTTGGTTTGTTTTCATTATGGACTTCAACTGCCTATTAAGATAGTTTTGGTAAAATGTCATTTTTGCTTATCTCTACATTAATCTATTAACATGATAAACAATTTCTTGTGACAGAATAAATCTACTGCAACAAGAGTGACCATAAAAATCCTGTTAGACAGATTAAACCAGGAGTAAATCGAGAATGTTTTATTTAAACATAGGAGGGAGTAAATAGGAAAAAAGATATTCAGTTCTTCATTAAGAAATGTGTATTCCTGCAAGTTTTTCTGTATACTGATATGGAATAAAAGGCAATAAAATCCAAACCATTAAAATTTGTATGTGCTAGCTGTGATAATAACAGATGAGCTTTCTAATCAAGCTCTAAACTGTTGGCAGTTTAAATACTGAAATCCCTCAATTTTGTAACCCAAACTTACAGGTTTAAAGCAAAACATGTCTATGATATAATTACAGCAAGCTACAGATTAACATTTCAAGTAAAAATTATAGTTTCTTCAAAAATGAGCAATAATACAACTGAAATTAATTTGGCAACAAAAGCCAAATTTTTTTTAAATTTTATTTTTTTACCATGAAATTACTTTACATTGTCAAGCATATAAAATATGAAGACGGTTGAGTACAGCTCCTTTAATACTGTTGACTTGAAAACAGTCCTGGTTTGTTTTATATTATAAGTACATTTAGTTCAACAGTTCATTACAAACCTTGCTATCATCATTATCCTCTGCATCATCTTTTATCTTGTCTTCATTTTCCTCATCCTCTTCTATAATTTCTCCTGATTCACCAGTTAACTTGTCAATATCAAAATTATCAATCATGTTACGTCTCTTCAATGTAACGGTTACCGTGACTATACTGCCGGCCGTGATAGATTTATCATCATCATCCAATACTGTAAACATTCCAAAACATATCTTATTATACTGACAGACATTATGATATTCTGTAATGATTTTCAATTCCATATCATTATATTCTTTTCAGTAAGCCCGTAAAAAAGGTCATCATTATTATGATTTGATAATAATACATGTACAGCAAAATTCTTGAGCAAACTTGTAAATTCATTGTTCAACATAGAAAACATCATTTTTTTTCATGTTTTCAAAACATGTCAAACACTTATGAAAGTGGTGTAAAAATTTGAAAATTATTTATGTTTAAACCATTCTTAATCATACAATATCTAATTAAAAATAAAACATACTATAGCCTATAGGTAAGCATTTAAGAATGTATCTGTATCATTTTCTGTGTTTGTTGGGTTTAATATCACATCAACATTGTGTATGATTACAGGCACAAGCAGGTATCTGAGAGGAACCAGGAATCTAATGTAACATTGTGCATGATTACAGGCACAAACAGGTATCTGAGAGGAACCAGGAATCAAATGTAACATTGTGCATGATTACAGGCACAAACATGTATCTGAGAGGAACCAGCAACCTAATGTAAGCTTACTGGATAGCATCCTGGCATGAATTATTCCTAAGTCCCTGGTATGATTTGACACCACAGTGGTTAAGGGTTAGAAATTTGAAGTCAGTCTCTTGAACCATAAGGTCATGGAGGCCCTGTATCTTTAGTTTAACCATACTTATTTAAGCTTGATTGCAAAACAAGATCTTGCAACATAAATGAATCATTTCAAGTCCACTTCTTGATACTAACCGGTCGGTACTGGTGTTATATTTGTGACCTGAATAGGCTCAAACCCATATTTCCTAGGTTGAGAGGCATATGCTTTAACTACTTGACTAGGCAAGCCATGTTACTTTTGTATCTATATGAAGTGATCAATTGATTATATGACATCATACATTATGTTTACCTTCAGATCTGATAACCATTTCTACATTAGGTAATGTAGCGCACACATTCATGATGTCTGTATATTCCTCGTCAGTTTGGGATCTCAACAATGCTCTTCTTTCGTCCTCCTCCATAGCTAGTAGATCACGTATACGCTGAATATTTCTCTGTAATGTTATATCATATATATAATGACCGGACTGATTTTGTTTTAGATTTAAGTCCACAAGGAGACTGCTACTTTACAAAAAGTTACATCTTTTATCAAAAAACTAATTTCCTAATATAGAATTGATAAATAGTGTTTCTCATTCCAACATGCAGTTTCTAAACTAAACATATTACATATATTATGACCAGATTAAATATTTTTGTATTATATTGACTTCCTCGAGAGAACTTTGACTTTATAACAAGTAACATCTTTTATCAAACAATTGATAACCTAATACAGAATTGATAAGTAGATTTTTCATTTTCCTCGCTCCAAAAGGCATTTTCTAAACTAAAAATATTCAATAAGAGATAATGTATTTTTTTTGGTTGATACCAGTTTTTGATCATTTGGAATCTTGTAACTGCAGGTGCTAACTTCAAAAGTTCCTTAATTCATTATCAATACTTAAGAGTTTAA